AGAGAAGAGCTGCTTCTGTGGATCTGATAATCAATGAGTCAAAGACGAAACACATGCTAATGATGCAAAATGATACAAGAAGGTACCCTCAAAACATAACTATTAACAATTACAACTTTGAAGGTGTAAGAAGTTTTACATACCTGGGTGCCTTATTAAACAACAAAAATGATATGCAACTGAAATACGAGTATGTTAATTAGGAACGATTTTCACAGCACTTTTGCTCAAGAATCGTTTTGTTAGAATGAATTTTTAAAAAAATTTTAAATTAATTGCCGTATTTGCTTAATCTAAAGAGGGAAGAAATTTGTATAGTTGAGCATGATATCACAAAGAGTCACATATAACACTGTTGTAGGTCAATATAAGGTCAAACCAAAACAATTCGTTTCTCTTATCGAATTTCCAATTGTATATTTAACAAAAATAGTAAAAATTTTCGAAAAATATTTTTCTTTCAGTTGACTTATTTTATCAATACCAGATGGTTACTTTCTAATTTTTTTCGTAGTACAAAATTTGATTTGCAAAATTCTTTTTAATAAAATTTAATTAAACATCTTCTATAGATATGCATTATATTTAAATCCTTTAATTTAATTTAGTTTTAGTCCTCTGAAAATCATAAAATTTAATTGTTTTTTCTTTTTTATATCAATAACAGAAATCAACAGATGTTTAGTTAATCCAAGGATTCAAATTAAGTTAAATTACTTGGAAATCAAAATGAGCCCAAAATTAATCTATAAACGACAAATTAAAAAGTTACTAAAAATTAAAGGACTATGAAGAAGAATTTTATTATAATTATAACATTAAATTTTTATATTCGTTTTTATATTAATTACAAGTTTTCTAATAAAAAGAATAATAATTAAAAATACATCAAGAATTATTTTTTAAGGAAGAAAAATTTTACAAACAGAATTTTCTCAACATAAAAACGCTATTATCAATTTATAAAATTACATATATAGTATAGGTCGAATTCAGCATAATTGAAAGAAAAAAATTTAACGCCTTTTTTTTTAGAATCATTAAAATATTTCTTATCTATAATTTTGAAATGAATCTTTATTCCCTATAAAATGTACAAAAATATTTAAAAGCTTAGCTAGTTTGATAAAATTTTATGTTCAGGGTATATGAAAGAAAAACATAAACAAAAACCGCAACTTCTAATAACACAAAATGAACGCAAATAGAACCGCAAATTACTTTATAAAACAATTCTTGGGTCGATGCTTATAAAAGGTGAACTATAAAATCTTGATAATATGGTGACTATTATAAAATAATTATTTTGAAGAATTTAGCACAACTTTTTAAATTAATTTTAAGGAATTTCTCCACAATACAGAATTCGATGATAATCGTAAAAATTTTTAGTACCGTTTGCTCACTTATTAGACGACTGAAGGTTTGCTCATTGAAGGACAATTTTATTTTATAAATTAAAAGCCTCGTTTTGAACCATATTTCTTAAAGTCGTAAATTTTCATTACCAAACACGACTTAAAGCAAAAGAGTATTGTATTTTCCCGAAAATGTTGCCTAAAATTGAGAATGTGTTCCTAAAGCCATTATATTCAAAGAAAATTTTATTAAAACTAACCATTTAATTAATAGAACTTGAAAACAACTTATTTTCGTTCTTATGAACAGAACGTGAAATATAAGAAATTTCGTTCATATGTAAGATATGCTCGAAAATGTAATATATGTCCTTAGTGTATGCCCGGTTACTAAGCCTAATATTCACAAAAAAGTTTCTGGTAAATTGTTTTACCAACCATGATTAAAATAATTCGATTTATTAAAAATTTAAATCTGTTGATTTTTCGCTATGAGAAAAAATCTAAATTTCGGCATATATAGAAAAAACTATTTCCTAGCATGAGTCGTCATGTACTTTAGAGATATTGTGTATTAAATATTAAGAAGATTTTTTGATTTTTTTCCTAAAGATAGTCAAACACGTAATATATTTGATCATTTACAGAGACGTTGTTTGGTTCTGAAAGTGTAAAAAGATCGAACTGGTAAATTCTAAAATACTGAAACCAAAAGTTGATGAATCTGTGACTTTATCATAGTAAAATCAAATATAATTTTTAATTTAAATAAGTTCTGCCGACTTTGAGATACGGACAAACAGACGAACATTTCTTAAAAATATTTCACTTATATGCTTCCTCGTATTACTAAATTGTGGTTCCCTTAACTTTGCAATCGAAAATTATGTTGCAAAAAAGGATTGCAATGGATAATATTAGCTATATTGTTTTAGGTAAATTAAAATTTTAGATAAATTAAACATACATATGACCTTTTCTTAAAACTCGTGACCGCTCTACAAAGAGTTCAGCTTAAAAAAAACTACTGGTGCGGTGGAATCGTTTTATGCAACAAATAGTAATTTTGAGCTTTTGAGGACACAATTAGACAATATTGTGATAGTTTAGAAAATTAGAAGATTTTGATTCACAACTAACGCATTATTAGGAAAAATTTTTTAATAAAAAAATTTTCTTTTTATTATTTTCAAACTTTTATTAATAATGTCCCAGTTTTTTTTTAATTTTCATTTCACAAAAAAACTTACTGTAACAGAAAATAGAGACAAGACAACGCAATAGTAAAGGGACTTTTCCTTTTATATTGGATTTCAAAAGTTGTGTCGGATAGAAAAAATTTTTTCTTTGTGTTTTTTTTTTTACCTCTTTATTTATTATTTTGGTTTAGAATATTATGAGCTTCTCTTTATCATTACCATCATTCCAATCAATATCAAATTCAACACTTATAATGCTGTCTTTGTATAGGTCGATGACTATATAAAAAAATAGAAGTAAAAAATGGCAACATAACAAAATTTTCTTTCATTAAATTTTAGTATTTCCTGCCTTCGAACTTCCGTTTTGTTATATTTTTTGATATATTTTCGAATATCAACGATTGATAGAACAACATTACGAGCATTTTTATAAAGTATTTTCAAGGATTCTTGCTTTCATTTATCTTGTGACTGTACGTAAAAAGATTGTAAATTGAATCTTCATCATAGTATTAGAACAATATTTTTCTTATTACCCACAAAATCTTAGATTACTCGCATTACTGCTAATGATATTTATGAGGATGAAATTTTTTCATCTTCTTCTTCTCATTATAAAATTTTTTGAAAAGAGTAGTTTGAAAAAGGTGAGATTATAGATATAAGCATATATAAAATGTGTATAATATTTGTATATATTGTGGGGTTTCAGTGGTTTTGATTCATCAAAGGAGTGAGATTATGGTTTGCTGTTTCGAAGTATGAATTATGAAAAAATGAAAAGTTTTGTTGTATCATTTTTTTAACTTTTGACAACGGAATATTTCTGTAGTTTCTTTCTAATAAGGTTAGTAAAATGTTGTAGAATTCCCAAAAATCTGCGAATGTAGATAATATGATTACTAGGTATTTATGGATGGAAACTATAATTTTTTTTAATTTAAGCGTCCACCCTGAAATTGCATTGTAATATTTGCTTTTAGACTTTTAACAATAAAATTTTTGGAATTAAGATAGTTAAGACAGTCTAATCATTTATTTTAATTCTAGGTCTGATATTTTTAGTTTAACTTGTTGTACCAAAAATTTACTATACGTTTGCATTTAAGGGTTTTGTTAGATTTTGAGACTGGATTCACTTTTAGTCAATTGTATGCCTATCGTTAATGAACGAGCAAAAAATGCAACGGGTTTACAACGAAAAGAAAAAATAATCAATTCTAGTTTCTTTCGCTTTCGTCTTCAAACTTTTCTTCTATAAGTTTCTATAAAAACAAAAGAATATTCAAAAACAATCTTTAGTACCATCATGTAACACTTATATTTTTTAAAGCATTCACAGTTAAGACACCCAAGTGAATATCAAACATAAAAGTTTAAGATTGTTTCTTAAGCAAACTATACATACGCAAGTGCAAGTATGTTATTATTTGCCATTTTCCTGAAATTTCCCATCAAATACTCTTAAAGCAGAAATACTAAGATCCAATTTTTCTGTTTTATAGGTAGATTATTAATATACATTTTATTCTCAATCTAGAATAGGACACTTTACAATCATATTCGTCATTGTACAATCAATTTAAAATGCAATTTGTTTGTGTTCTCAAAATAAAATTCCACATAATATTAAAGTCAATTATTGAAATTAAAACATTCAATTCAAATAAAATTTCATTCAAAATGCCAATAATCCTTTTGCTTTCAAATTCAAATCTTCTGGAGCGCAATATTCATGTACTTGACAAACCACATTATTACAGCCACATAAAGCTGCGCAGTCTTCGAAGGTAAATAAGGATTTAATCACTAATAAATTAATAAAAAATTGTGTTCTTAAATTTTCGTAACTAAATAAATAAAATTGTGCATGAAAACATTTTTTTTTTATTTTAACTCTTGGTACAGTGTTGTTCTTTGCAAGCTAAGATCACATATAACTTCAGCCAAGTATCATTTGTATACTATTTGTTGGAGTACAAAGTATAAAATTTACTTAAAAAAGGATTTACAAAATGTAATAATCCCAAATAAAATTAAATAAAACATATTTGCATTTTCGTATATTACTTATGTAAATATGTAATAAAGAATGTTAATATATAAAATGTATTATAACTTCTCTCTACTCTAATTTGACTTAATCTAGGTACATAATATAAGATGTACGAGTACGTTATAAGTGAAAAACTTAAACCCCACTAACACAGACACACAATATAATGAATATGTTCATTTTAAAATTATATTCAAAACATTAAATTTATAATTGTAGATAATTTATATTATCTATACATTGTTTAACCAACATGTAATTAATTATAACCACAAAGTTAAAAACGTTAATCTTCAATATAAATGTGCTGTGTTTTAAGATAAATGTGTTTTTCTTTTATACTTATATGATGCCATATGATTTATAATAAACTTTAAAAGTCTTACATTTTGTAAATATTTTATAATTATTATTCATATTTCAACTATATACATATATATACATATACTCACATGTAAATTGCCATTAAGGATAATTTTATCACATATTGTTTACCTAAGAACAAAGAGAAAGTAAAATATTTTATTATAATTTATACATATGTATGTAATAATAATGTATAATGTGTGTATGTATGTATATATTATATTTAAATTTCAACAAATTTAATTACATATCATTTTGACTTGTATAATTTTATATTTAAATACAAATTCATATACACACACACACATATATTTATTCAATATCATTAACTTTTAATTAATTTTAAAAATTTACTTTAGGAATAATTCGTATATTTTATATTACAATGTGAGTATGTCAAATATTTGTAGAAATTACACATATGTACATATCTACATACATATCAAATATATTTTTGTCAATTTATACAAATCAGAATAAAATCTATTTTGAAAATGCGAATTAGCAAGTATTTTTGTGGTTAAATAAAATTTAAAAAAAAAAAATATGAAAATTAAAATAAAATCCTTTTGAAAATGTCAATGTAATGAAAAAAAAAATATTTTAATGACTGATTATGTATTAGATTTAAGCCACAAGTGATTTTCTATATATATATATATATGTTTTTTTTTGGAACCTTTTTGGTCCTAAGAGTTATTGCTAAAATAAAATATTTTTGTTAGCAGTTTGTTATAGAAAACAAAAAAAAAACGAAAACTTAATATGAAATCAAAAAAAAAGGACTAAGTTAAGGTCTTTCTGAAAATGCAGTTCTAACTTAGTACTAAATTGCAGCACATTTGTTTAATAAGAACTGCTTCAACTACAAAGCAGTGTTTTTAAAAATTCAGAACTGCAGTAGCAGCCATTTTGAAAACTACAACTGCAATTAAGATATTTCAGAAACTTCACGCAACATCGCATTTTTAATTTTCTAACTGCGCTAACTTAAATTGAATATTAAGCAAGATGGACGATGATGATATAGAAGATTTATTAGCGTAAGTTTAAACTCTTATCTCGATTTGCTTCTGTAAGATATTCGAATTTATAATTTTTAATTAATTTTTTCCTTAAATCCATTTTTTATGTCTAAAAAATAACAACTTCAATTTTGTACTATTGGTAGAACTGCATTTTCAAATATGACTTAGATAAAGATTTGCAAGAACTTTTTTACTACGACAAAACAAATGACAATTTTTTGCAGTTGTCAATCAATGCGAAAAAGTTTTTTTAGTTTTAAGTTAGAAATGCGTACGCATACTGCGTTTTCAGAAGAACCTTTATCCTCTTTTCTGGCCATTGATTCGGTTAAATTCTCAGTTTATAAAATATAGTAACGATATGTTTGTGTAAAAAAAAGTTTTATAACACTTCCTCATCCATTTTTCATATGCATACGTACATATAGGTATTCCCATGTAAGGCGTAACTTTTCTGAACTATACAAAAAATATTAGATTGAGTAGAAAGTATTCGAATATTTCAAAGAAGCACGAAAAAATTCTAAATTAAATTGTAAAAATTTTTTCACACATACTCACAAATTTGCAGAAATTGAATATTTTACTTGAAGATTTGTAAAATACTCGTGTCAGATTCATTAATATTTTCTTACAAACGCACCTCTTCTAATTTATAATACTTTCGCCATTAGCCATAAAAATGCTTAAAAATTTGTTTAGAACTATAAGAATAACTGCAATTGTAGTAGAAAATTATCAAATGCATGGTATTATTGTACATTTTGCAATTTGGATTAATCAAACGTGGTTTATATTAAGATCTGGAATTGAATTATCGTATAAATCCGCTATTGTTGCATATATTCAAAAATTTTGCATTGCTATGGATTAAAACATTTTTTCATACAAATTATTTAAGCTTTTAATATTTTTTTAAATGTAAGTATCACGTTCCTTGAAAATTGTTGTAAAATATTATTATGTATGCATATAATATATACGCTTCGGACGCGGAATCTAATTAGTTATGTAAACATGCATGGCATGTCGATCTGTCCCAAAGATAACTGCATAGTTTTGAAAATTACTAAAAACAGTTGCAGCTTTTGAGTCATATTTAATTCAAATTCGATCGCAAAAGTAATTCGAATACTACCCCTACACATACATAAAAGATTTAAACATAATCTGAATCAGAACCGGGAAGCTGTTAAGGTTTTTTGTGATATTTACAAAATTTAGACTTGATTCAAAAAGTTACAAATAGCCAAATTGTACGTAAATAAAGTTAACAGAAAGACGAAAATAATTTGATCCTATCTTACAATTTGCTCAAACAAAATATTTAAATTTAAACAAAAGAATTTCATGACTTCGACAATCACTCCTTTAAAAGTTATTGAGTTAGTTGTCAAAATCGTTCCACACAACTTGTACATGAATTCAAATTAGTGACATTCTCACTGAAAAATGATTTGTATGTGTCTTTTTATAGACTAAACATACATCCGAGCATATTTTTGAAATTTTTCATTAATGAAGCAATTGCCGTAATGTACTTTAGTATACAACTGTTATGGTTTTTGCTTTTTTAGATTTACAACTAAAAATATATTCTTCAATTTAAAACCCCATAATCCAATCAAAACTGACATTCGATAAAATAATTTCTTTAGAACCATATTTAAGCTTACTTTCCGTATCTTGATATTTTACAAACCTAAAGATATGTGGAAATAACATATTCTAGCAATAATTGTCAAATTTTGTCAATAGAAAAGCAGCTCATATTTTCTTCCTTAAAAACCATTGCCTAAATGTTTAATAATTAAAATATTTCTCAAACCTTCAAAAACTTAACTATTTTTCAAATTTCATTGAACATTTATCACTTTGGAGAATTTTAAGGAGCATTAGAAATATTCGAAAGTTCAAAATAGTAAAATACCTTATTTATTAAGAATAATAAAAAAAATTTTTTGGTTATTCTTTTTTTACATTAACATTTTTGCTCCTTGTAAAATGGTTACAATAAAGTCTTACAAAATCTATAGATTGCATGAACCAGAAGAAGCTTAGATCGATTAAATTAGTTGTATGTTATTCTAACACTTGTAGAAAACAATTTATAATAAAATTATAGTTCGAACGTTTCACTTGGTTTGCATCAAACTAATTTTTACACTATCATACTCTTACTTGTATATAAAATAATTTTTGATGTTAAATGACCAAAATTTGACCAAAACATTAAACCAATTTTATTACTATATGTGTTTCTAAGGAAATTAAAGAATAGCCTGTCAAATAAAAGGAACTAATAGAGAACAAATTGATCATTTTGAGAAAGGTCCTTTTCCACTTTCTTATTTTTATTTTTCTTTTGTTATGCTTTTTTATAGTTTTGTTTACTGTTTTTTTTTTGGGTTTTTTTTTATTTCATACATCTTTATCTGAAACAAATCGTTATAGGAAAACTTTTTCTCTTAGTTTTCTCTATTTAGTTTTCTTCTATGTGCTTGTGAAGTGAAAAGAATATTGTGAACGATTTTATGGTAGTTTAAGTATTTTTGTCTTCCTGAATTAAAGTCAATGAGCCATTCAATGTTGACCACATTTATTATATTATATTATTTTTATTATTATTTTTAATGTGCATGTGTGACACATGCTATGTAATACATTGTATTATAAATAGTATTTAGGTGAATAAGTAAAGTGGGAACTTCATATATGGATCAAATAATCTTTTTATTATTTCATAATGAATTTCATTTAATTTATTCGGTTAGTAGTTAGTACAAGTTTGTTTGTCGTATTTATAGTGACATAAAATAAAATATTTTGCACAAAAGTTTTAAGAAATTCTTGTTTAGATAACCAGATGTTTTGTTAAAATATTTACACTTCATAAGATTATTTTTAATAATAAGTTTAATAAAAATCGAATACCTATAAAATAAATTTATTTTTCGATTGTTTAACGACCGTGCTATAAAGTAAATTAATCGAATCGAATTGAAAGTTTTAAAAAATTCTTAATTGAATATTATTCCAATGTAAATGTTTATTAATATCAACCTATTTAGTGTAGTGGTTACCACAATTTAAAGTTTTGCAGAAAAGCATCATTAGTAACATCTTGCACTTTAATGACGACGTACCTAAAATTATCTATATAATGCTTTCAACAAATATTCCAAGAGATGAATAAAAAATATTTCATAGAGATTTGACTACAATTAATGAAATTTCAATAAACTAATAAATAACATTTTACCAAACACTTCTTTGAAGTACGAGAATGCTACTCTTAATATAGATCAATATTGTAAGTATTAAATAAATAGCATTTAATTAAAAAAACACTATGATATCTCCATTAAATTATGAAATTATTAAATTTTTAAATTTATAAACTTATCATGAGTGAAATTGTATAGAACAAATTTGAATTGCAAAATTTAAACTAAAATCCGCTCAGATATTTTCGGAATGCACTTTAATAAATTTTTAAACACGATCTCTCATAAGTATTTTTGCTTCTACGTAAACTGCGTTAACTTATACTCGTACATACATAAATATGTCCAACACTATTTAATACAAAAATACACAAAAATACCGGGAAATTTAGAAGCAAAAAAATCGTATACTGTAATTTTTGCCAAATTTTTGGATAGACCTTCCGGGTACTGACATCTCTTTAAAGAGATTCATTTACTTTAAATTCCTTTTATAGTTACGAATGCAATAATCTGGGAATAATAAGCGCGGTAATCTAAAATAAATAAGTTTATCATATAAGTTACTAATATTTTGAATACATTTCAAAAACTGTCAAGAATTTTCATATTTAACCTACCAAATAAAATTTTGTTATTGGATTTATATTTCAACGGTGTAATATACAGTATTCTGGTAAATTAATGATTAACAACACTTATGTAAGTCTCGCATCATCCCTTTTTTAATATGTCATAATGATATTGTCAAATTTTAAAATTTAATTGTAGTAAAGACTTAGTTGATCTAATATTTTTTAAGTTAACTTTGCAATTTGTAAGAGAACCTTTAAAAAATTATTTTTTAATCGTTCCTCGCTTCCGGTTTTGCTTC